TTTGATCAATTAATTTGCACTCCGTGTTCGATTCGAGACAAAATGCTGCTCCGATACTTTCGTATCGGACAGCTAATTTTTTACATTCCATTACAACATTAGCGTAACCTAGAGTTGAGATTTAGTCATTCGCGAATGATACTGAGTAAATATACAGATTTTACATGAATATTCATAGAAAACTCAGATAATTCGAAGATACTCATAGAGAATTCGTGGATATTCAAAGAACTCGCAGATATTTATAGAGAATTCGCGGATATTCGGAGAATTCGGAGAATTTCATGTGATAAGTTTCTCATATTCGCACAGAATATTCACACAGGTATTTTACATTGATATTCGCACACACGGACTATTCACAAATATTCATGGACTCCGTGTAACCGAATATTCACTACGTATTCATTTTAGTCGTGAAATTCATAACATTTGAAACCCTTTTTGTTATCCTTTTCGGCACCTCTTCTTAATAATACTCGGGTATTTCACCCAACATATTTTTTATTACCAGGGATAATACCCAAGTATTTTGCACGGTCTTCTAGTATCATTCATCGACAAAATTTTTTGGCACCAATATAAAATCGATCATTGGTTTCAAATTGGAATTGGTTTTTTAAAAACTAGGTTCCAAAACCAGGTTCCAAGGTACCCAAGTTCCGAACCTAAAGAACTTTACCACATATTTGTTGATCGTTTGTGTAAAAAATTTTAAGCATAATTCTGAGAGTCGACTCGGGTCTCGTGTAACACGACAATCCAGGTGATTACATGGTTAAGAAGTACGTTCGTACACAATACTGACATTACGATTTTTTTAACTTTTAAAATGAACCCGTCTCCTTCTTTGTCAGTTCACAAAAAAGATATTCAATTCCTCGCGCAGGTGATAAAATTTATTTCATGCTTAGTGACATTTGAATGTATACTAAGTAGTAATATTTAAATTAGGAAACTACAACTTTGATTGTAAAAAATTTACCAAACTTACCAGAATCCGATTTACTCAAATTCTTGAAAAACTTTGGACCACAAGATATCCGTCTTGGAAGAACTCAACAGTTGGTATGCGATTTTTAACTTTTTATACTCATAAAAACAGAATAACGCGTTTAAATGAATTCCTTTTCTTGTATTAGAAAAATTCGGCTTTTTTGGATTTTCCTGATCGGGCCTTAGCTTCGACCGCATATTCTAAATTTCAAGAATTAGATGATATTGGAGGCAAGAAAATTCGTGTAGAATATGCATCACCTAGCAAGGAGGCTTTAAAAAAGAAGGCTAATGGCGATTCAGTAAATAATTCTGGTGATATTAAGCAAAACGATACAGCAGTACCACATTTACCACCACCGCCACCTGTTCCACCAATACCCGGATCTCAGGCAGAGCCAATTGCCCCTTCACTTGGGTGAGTCTTAACCTTTCTGCCATTCTTGAAAGTTGGTTATTTCAAAGATTTGAAGGTCCTTTCAGGTTTTTGATATGTAGATTTATCTTAAAAAATTCATGAATTATTCAGATTTAATTATCCACCTGCCCCAACACTTCATTATCGTTATCCACCACCAACAGTTGAAATCCTTTATAACATTATGAACGCAATAGCAGCAGTACCCAAATTGTATACGCAAGTATTGCATCTAATGAATAAAATGAACTTACCACCACCATTTAAACCAGTGGTTCCTGAATCTGTACCGCCACTAGTAAGATAATTTGCATTTATGTAAAGATTAATATTATTTATTCCTTATTTTGTTTAATAATATACGTTAAAACACTTTTGACTTTAGCTACAACAACATTTGTCTGATTTGCAAAATACTGATGATAATAGTAAGAAACGTAAAAAGCGAGACGAATTATTGTCAGACGATGAATCAGAAATCGATAGTGAGGATGAAGAGCAGGGGGACGTGAGATCAAAAAAGAAGGCTAAGTCAACGGCCAATGTGTTTAGTGCAATTCCATTAGTACTTCCAATTGCCACTACCGATAATCCATATGTAAATCCGTTATCGACTGCAGATTCAGCATTTAATTTAGAAACTAATCAATTGGTTTCAGATTCAACATTTAGCTTAGAAACTAATCAATCGACTGCAGATTCAGCATTGAATTTAGAAACTAATCAAACTAATCCACCGGAACCACTTAATTGTATCTCAATTGAAGATATTAATTCCAACAAAATGCCAATCGAAGGTAATTTTAACTGCGATATTTTCAGTCAATTTTCGAATTTATAAACTATTTGTCTTTTTTTCAGAACTACAAAAGATACCCGCCATGAAAAATTATTCAGCTGGAGATCCCACAAATACTCTATATATAAAAAATTTATCCCAGAGGAAAATTGAGGATAAAGATTTGGAATATCTTTTTGGCAGATATTTTCAATCACGTTCAGAAATGGAAAGGTATTGTAAATGAACGTTGTCTTTTATATATTTTTTTTTAAATAATTGGTTTAATATACATATAAACATTTTTAGTCAGTTGGGAATTCAATTATTGAAAGGACGAATGAGAGGGCAGGCATTTATAAAACTTCCTAGTCTAGAAATAGCAACACAAGCCTTAACCGAATTTCATGGTTACATGCTACATAATAAACCCATGATTATAGTAAGTAAATAGTGACTGAAATTACATGTTATTTATTCAATCTTACAACATTTGATTTTTATTACACCAGCAATTTAGTAAAGGATCTGCGGAAACAAACAAGAGTTCCTGAAGGAGAGATAAATCATATGCGTAGTAGACTATCAATAAAATTTTAGTACTACTAAATGATTTTTTTAAGACTGCTTTAATACTTTTATTATTTATATTGAAAAAAATGGGCAAAAACATTATAAAGAATAATAATAATAAAACAAAAAAAAAAAAAAAAAAAAAAAACACTACACCCGTGAAACGTCGATGAAAATGCCGTTATAAGCGCGAAAGAGGCTAGAAAAAAGTACATATTTGCACAATTTTCAAAGAACTAAGAATTAATTTTGACGAATATAAACAATAATTTTATTTTTGAAAAATCATCGTCTAAATTATTAGCTCTCTGGAAATTGTCTTGAAATAATGCCTCGGAACGTTATACGGTACAATTGAGAAACACAACTATTCGTCACAGTCATGTTAATTGACGGTCTACTCTCACCGCTATTAGATGTCACTTTGAAGAGAAGATCCATAATAACTTATTGAAATAGGTTTTCGTAAGGTTTGTGTTACATACATACAGTATAAGTATTAAGTAACTAATACGGGAGTTGTATCGTCTATTGGGTTTTTTATTTGTGATTGACGTGGGGATCGAGTTTTGACAGAGCTTTGTGACCATACCAATTGGCGATTCATAGATTCATTATAATATGCAGTATGACTGTTTAATCTCGTATAAAATCCGTAAATGGTAAAAGAAATGGCGTGTATGGTCACGTGGTTCGGCATGTCAGAAATGTAAGATGCGAGAGCTCGTGATACTATAGATTTGTTTGATATTTAGAATGAATGTGAAAGCAATTATTAAATTATACGTACACAGCAAACCATACATATCAGATAAACGAAATTATGTAATCCGCAGTATTATCTGATACCCGATCTTTTGTAACATGGAATGCGTTATCACTATGTGTATCATCACCATGTCAAAATTTTGACACATTTTAAAAGACTGTCATTTGTTCTCGTTCACAGTAAGTCATATAACGTAAATCCACTGTATTGCATCGTGTTCTAACTCTAAAGCAAAAGCTTAAAAAATAGTTCAAAAGTTGACAAGTTCATTGTTAAATCTTCTTTTAAAGAATTAAAGAATACAGAAATGAATAGGGTAACATTAGCAACTGTTTGGGCCCAATGTACTGCACGGAAAAAAACCGTGCATTCATGTTTTGCTAGTATTGTCATTCATGTAGTCAAATTTGGAGGAAAATGGAAGGCTTCAATAATATACTGTATTATTATAAATTTATATATAATGAATCGGAATCGTCACTATATTTATGTACGTACGTACGTATGTACTTACTGTTTATTTGTTGTTTACATGCTGTTTTTCCGGTAAACCTGTTCGCTTTCTGGCTAAAAACGAATTCACCGGTCTCCCATCTTCTATAAGCTCGATTTCATTTTGCAATACTTCAAATTGATCTTGAAAAAATGCGTCAAGCTCGCCAAGTTTCAATCGATGTGTATCACCTTTAGGATGTTTATATGAATGCACACCATCATCTACAAATGTACTGATCAAAAGAAATCCTCCTGGGTTTACCATTTTCATCATGGTGTCGAAAAATTTTCGACGTAAAAAGCGGACACAGAGAACAAGGTCATAGGTTTTGCAAAGAAAGTCAACATTATCGTTATCGTATAAATTTGTCTTACCATTTTTGACATCTCCAGATCTTATCGGAGGTTGCATAACCGATCCATCCGACATGATCTTTACAGGTATTGTTTGTATCTTGGACAAGACACCAACTCCCTGGGCTAATTGCCTTGTTCGATCGAGAGCACTAGTCATAGCATCGATGGCAGTGACATGCCAGTCAATAGATTTACGTAAGCAAAGCCAGGAAGCATCTCGTCCACTTCCGCAAGCAATATCCAAGCAATTAAATGTCGTATTTGGTTTATGCATGTTTCTGAGTGATTCTTCTATGAAATTCATGTTATTTTTTAAAAATGGGCAAGGTTGAAATAGTGTCCATCGTTGCCTTTTAGAGTAAATATCCAACGAATCCATGATATTATCATTTGTGTTTATGCTAATCTCTTCGATAATTCCAAGTTCTCTTCCGACTTTCCATAATCTTTCGCTTTCGGTAAATACCCAAAAAACATTCCATCCTTGATCCTTAAGTAACTTTTGAGCTATTCCTTGGTTATTATGTGGTTCCAATACAGCAAGAGGTAAGGATTTTGGTGGAAGTTTGAATTGATGTTTCTTCAAATCGGAAAAGGGAATACAAGTGGATGGAATAATTCTACAGCCAAAGTGAATATGTAGGGGACGAAGGTCGAGAAGTGGTCCGCTTGAAGAATTAATCCAATTATAAAGTGAAGTTTTGAGCGATATCAAACTTGTCATTATTTCATTAAAAGAACAATAAGATTTAAGGCGTTCGGTTTCTTTTTAAATAGAAGAACCGAGAATGTCTCGTAATCTAAACGCATACAATTACACAACATGCGTAAATGATAAATCTGTATACATATATCTGATCATGTCCGACTATTTGGTAGTGCCACGTAAAGTTTATGTGTATCGGTACATCAAAAAGTTAGGCCTATACACATCTATACACATGCTTTAGAAATTCGCAATGATATGCAAATCCCTTGGTGTGTAAACGTTTGTCTAAATGCTCAAATAAAGTTAAGTGTCATGATAATAGAATCGGTTAACTGTAATCGTCAGACTTAATGTTGTGACATAGATATGCTTTTGATAATTGGATTTTTTTTTTTTTGACATCTCTTGTACTCCACACAATCTATATCACAAAAGTCAATTATACATATTAAACATATGATGCCGTTTGGGTCAAAAAAAAAAACTACGTACTCCTTTTTACACAAAAAAAAAAAAAACACTACCGTTTGAAGTCATAAAGATTTTTAATTCATAAACGCGATTTCGTGATATCACTCACCAGAAATAACGCAAAGGAGTACCAAGTAACGACTAAACACCTATTTTTTGCAACGAAAACTATACTGAAATATTTTCGATATACTAAATTATTTACAATTTTGATTGTCAAAAATCATTTTCTCCATTTAAATTTACGCCAAGAGTAAAATATTTTTTCGACACCCATGTATACGCCTCAGGGCCTTCCCGGAACTTTTCCAAATACTCGTAGAGTATACCACCCACCAACATCGTCGACTGATGCTACGCCTTTACCACAATACCAACCACTCAACCCTCATCAACCACATTCCCACGTACCGCTTGCTCAATCACCAACCTCACCGCCACTTACACCTTTTATGCCAGAAACGAGCGGCCCTAAAGTAACTGGACCACGTCAAGAGTTAAAGGGTGTACTCAGAAAAGAAAGATATGAATATAAAGCACCATGGCCTGTGTATGGCTTAGATTGGTCAAAACGACCTGGTGAAAAATCATTCAGACTTGCTTTAGGAAGTTTTATCGAAGAAAATAGCAACAAGGTATTTATTTCTACTATAATAATTTTCTCACAACAAATTTTGTCATTCATTACATACGTTTGAGAAATTTGATTTATAGAACAGCTTCAAGTCATTATTAATTTACAGTCATTTACAAGGATTCATTTAGCAAAATTAAGGATGAAAATTTGTTCATTGTATTATTACTTTACGATCTTAATTAATTACATGAATTGCAAAATTAATTAGACGAATCACCAAATTTAATTCACTTATACTTGTCAGATTTAATTAATCAATGATGAGATAATAATTCGATATTTGTTCCGTTGATAAAAGCTTCAAATTATTACACTATCCGAATTTGCCTATGACGATCCTTATTATCGTAATCCCAATGTCGACCTTGTCAAAATCGCTGAAGTTGATCACCGCTATCCTATTACCAAAGTATTATGGGAACCATATAAGGTTTGTTGTAAGATATTAACTAATTAAAATTTTCGTGAAAAAAATTGATTTTAATAATTGTATTTGATTTAATTAGGGTGGTTTGAAAACGCCCGATTTATTAGCAACAGCCGGTGATTATTTAAGACTATGGGAAGTTGAAGAAGATTTTAATACCTCAAGCAATACGATTGGTGCAAATAATTACTCAGGAGTTAGGCAGCAACGATTAACTCACAAAAGTATGCTGACTAATGTAAGATAATTTCTTAATTTCATTTCATTTATTTTCATTAAATTATAAAAATTCTAATTATGAATTCTTATGATAGACTAAAGCCGATTTTAATGCTCCATTGACATCTTTCGACTGGAATGAAATCGACCCAACATTGGCGGTAACATCGAGTATCGATACCACTTGTACCGTGTGGAATGTAGAAACAAAACAAGCGAAAACACAATTAATTGCTCATGATAAAGAAGTTTATGATGTCGCATTTGCTTCAGGCACTGTGGACGTATTTGCTAGCGTCGGTGCCGATGGTAGTGTGAGGATGTTCGATTTGAGGTTAGATTATATATATATATATATATATTTTTTTAAAGTAATAGTTGATAATTGTTCCTTACCCTATATTTATTATACTTAAACACAGAAATCTAGAGCATTCTACGATTATTTATGAAACTGTTAACCCACATCCTCCATCCGTGAATGCTGCTAATCCAGTACCGCCATCTCCTTTACTTCGATTATGTTTTAACAAAATGGAACCAAACTACTTGGCAACTTTCCATATGGATTCTTTAGATGTTCAAATATTAGATGTAAGAGTTCCTGGCGTTCCTGTCGCAGAATTAAGAGGTCATTCAGCGACCGTCAATTGTGTTAGCTGGGCACCAAATCATAATGGTATTCTATGTAGTGGTGGTAAGCATATCTTATAAATATACAATGATACATCTTAATTAATTTTTAGATTAATTATGAGCATGTTTAATGTCGTTTAGGTGATGATTCCCAAGTTCTTGTCTGGAACATTAATGGCGTGCAGATGGGAAGCGTTGGTGGAAAACCATATAATAACGACCCTATCTTGTCTTATAAAGCTGAAAGCGAAATCAGTCAGTTAAGTTGGAGTTCTAGATACCCAGACTGGGTAGCGATAGGATTTGGTAATACCGTACAAGCTTTGAGAATGTGACGGACAATTATTACAATAACTTCACACTTGCTACATTTAATATAAATCATTTCAAAATAATACTATGATACATACATTTAACAAATTATGTACAGAGAAGGGAGCAGAAATAATGCAACAAATATTATGTATTTATGATAAAAAAAAAAAGTCATAATTGGCACCTATGCATTCAAATTTGTCTATAAATTGATAAGCATATTAACAATATTATGAAAATAAATATATTTTGTTGTGTTAATTTGGTCCCTTCCTGTATCTATCAAATCAATAAATCATACTACATTCACGGTTGGCACGTTGATCTATAGATCATGCCATATATCTTTAAACAGAAGCATATTAATAATTATAGTTGTTTTAGATAATTATCATATTGTTTTCCTAGAATGTGTTCGCTGGTAAACCATGTAATAAATACCGTTTAGCACTACATACAGTATTCAGGGTTTATTCAAGAACTTCATTAGGAGTATCGGGTATGTACTATTCACGAATACGGAGGTACCTTTATGTAATGATATTAGTTTGGAGGGATACTGCATGCAGTGCTAAACGGTAAGTGAAAAAAAAAATTATCATGTGTAAGTACAAATATATATCTTTTTTTTTTTTTTGAGTTTTGGGCTATTTTATTTAAATATATAAATTATTTTATGTAGGTAGACAGTAATAATCATTACCGTATTTCGCCAGAGTTGAATTGACAGTACCCTCCTTTGATTTACACCGGATATGTTACAAGGTCTATTACAACAGAATTTTATAAATGACATATAAACAAATTGGTTCATATAATAATATACATAATATACGACTCTTGTACAAGACCATCCGCATAATATATCTTCCAGGTTTCAAATTAGGTTCCAAACTAAGAACTTTTACCATCCCTATTAGCAATTACAGTTAAAGATACGGTTGTATATTAATTATAATAAAAACCGATTAGTAAATGGAACCGATAAACCAATTTGCACCTTTAATTACAACACGACGTAGTTTAACGGTTATTTTATATGATCAAATTTATTAAATCGTAATTTTCGCAACACAACTTTATAGCTATATGAAAATACTATACAATATATAATTTACGTATATACAATAAAAAGCAATCCTTTAAATTCGTTAAAGTATTAAAATTTATTATAGTATTATGAAAAGTAAAAATCTTAATCTTGTCTTATTCAACAGCAAAATTATCTGACTGCTGGTTTTCTTGTTCGCTCTGATATTCCCATTGATTAAAAGTATCTACCTCCAACTGATATTGATAATCCGCTAGTCTTTCTTCTTCGTATTCATTAATCAGTAACCCAGCTGCTGATACTTGTAATACATGAATCTTTTGATATTGCTTCACATCCAACAAATCTTCTTGTTGATGTTGTTGAGACTCGGCCACAGCCACACTACTCGCATTAGCATTTACATTACTCTGCGCAAGTTTGTTAACACCACCAGCACTGAAAGCATTTTGGGATGCTGTATCTTGGGTTACTTCATCAGCATGCTGAAGATCATCTAGCAGCGCATGCTGCTTATGAATGACTTGGGCTTCTTCAACTGTTACCAAGAACATGTCACCTAATGAGTCAGAGGTTTCATACTCATAAGTTCGATAGACTTCCCACCAGTCATCAGATTCTTCCTCGTAGTGTTTGTGAATTTCATGTTCTAAAGATTGGGATGTTGCTTGTTGTTGAGCGATATCTATACCGGGACCTTTAAGCCCATTACTATCGGGTATTATAGGTTTTGAATTTTTTAAATTGCGCTTTTTGTAAGGTCGATGGAATGGCGAGTCTAAAGATATCTTGGCCGGTGATGTTATTGGTGAAATTTCATTATTTCTTAGTTTTATAATTGCAAATGGATGTTGTAAATCTAGTGTTGTTAAATATTTAAAGTATTGCTTATATTTGAACTCATCAAAGTTGCATGATGAAAATATGATCAAAAGTAAAAATACTGCAATAAACCATAAAATAATGGGTTTAATCGAGAGAATATCAAGTGATTTGACCATTTTGTTGAAAGATAGAAAGAGAAATCAAATATATATATATATATATGTGCGGAAATATAGGATGATGTGATTGATTTATGTAAGAGAATAAAAAGTATTCATTTGAAAGACTAATAATTAAAACACGTCGCGTGTAGTCATTTAAAAAATAATAAAAAATTCAAGTGAAGAAGATAGATTTATAATTTTATTTGCATGAAACTTGCCAAGAATTTAATTCTCATGATGATATATATGCAAACACCTTTTGTTTTTCCTGTAATCGACACATTTTTATACTTCTGAATTTATTCATGATTTAAAAAATGCTTCATATGATTCAATCAATCGATTGATGAATTTTAAATGATTGATGATATATTTATTGTATATTACATTACAATTATTTAACGTTAATTAATCGTATATTCGTGGAATCGAGGGGTTGTTTTTCAGACCTGTTGGCTTGCATAAAACAATTGATCCCTAATTCTGGCTAAATGTTAAAACATGTTTACAATTAATTGAAGGCATAGAATCGTCTCAATTTTAAAAATATGATTCATTATCCGGAATTTTGGTCGTTATTTAGATTTTAATGTTAAAAGGGTACAATATGCGAATGTAAAATCATGATGTAAAAAGCCTTTGATATCATTAGCATTGCAAGTTATTTCTTGAATTTTCGGAACTATATATAGCCATAACTCTAAGCCTCATATATGTGTAAACAAAGGTTTATTTAATATTGACAAATGATGCAATTCAAAAATTATCAATGAAGGTTCTGAACGTTTCAAAACAATTTCTGAAATTCTTTTAGATGTTATTTTTTTAGATCTCTCTAAATATAGATGATAACAATGCACAAAGTTGGAATAAAATGCTTGAGTCTTTGAACGCAATGTGAAGGATATTCCAGCCTTGCAAAATAGTATTAAAATAAGTTATCGTCCTTGTGGTAGCCGAACAAGGAATGAAAAATCGGCGCAGTTTTTTTGTGGTGATCTCACAAAGTGAATTTGCTGACGGTTTTTTTTTTAGAATTTCATTAATTTCAAGATTCAAAGAAGTCAGCGTAAAAGTACATATTATTTCCGAAATTCTAATCACAGCATTCAAACCCCTCCGTGCAATCGTTATTCTTAATTTTAGAGATTGTATCCCTCAAAATTTATACCCAGGTATTACTAAATCCGGGTAATTTATTATAGCCATATAATAAAAATGTCTACCCAGGTACAATCTCTACGTACTTAATTCCACTTTGTCATGATTTAAATAATTTGATGTCAAATAAACGACGCTTCTTGCATTTTGTGTAATTGATTTTTGCCAAAAAATTGACATACGTATAAACTTAGCCAAATATATATCATATGATTATTTGAAAATTATTTTTCACATGATTGATCTACTTGTCGCTATAATTATGTCCAATATCTCTGTATACCAAAGCTCAAGCTAAAAGAAATAACTGATTTAGTGCCGAAAGGAATAACAAAAGTATGATGACAAAATAAATGTCGCGGCTAATTATGAAATCGGATTATTGTGAAATTTGGGGTCTCAATTTGAAAATATAGGCCTTACCCAAAATCCACCTATACTTTTTTATTAAAAACTCTAACCCTAAATCCTAACTCAACTATAAAAACAAACCTACAAAAAAGGCCACAAAAAAATTAAAAATCGTACATGAAATAGATCCAAATTTCACAATAATCCGATTTCATAATCAGCCGTGACAATAAATAAATAAAGAGCATATTAACATTAAGTCACATTCCGATATTTCAACTGGGCAATCTTCACACAGGCAAGGAGAGCATGGCACCAGCCGGAGTCGAACCTGTAACATTTTGTTACGGACCCGCGTTCTAACCGTTAATCCATATCAGAATGATCGCCTAATTTTTGAAATGTACTTCTTATAGCTATATAAGGGGCCATCTAAAGTAACCAATCAAAGTATAGAAATTTGTCGATACTGACAAAGAACCAAAAACTTGAAAAATATAAAAAAAAGAAAATTACAAATAAAGGCTCAAAAATCAAAATAATTATGAATAAGGGCTTATTGATTTAAATTGGATTGGTGTAGCATACATAAATTTAAATTTGCGCACATTTCAGCGTTCTTCATATATATAAAGCGCGTATAATTTTTTTTTTATACATATTTTTGTTGGTTTGTACCAATAAAAATCATTTAAATTTATAATACTAAGAAACCCAAATTAAAAATAATTATATATTTGAGTCCAAATTTTAAAAGTTATTATAAACAAGGGTTTAAAGTGCAAAGTAATTTTTTTTTTTCCCTTAAGCAGTCATGCTAGTGCTTTATTAAAATTTTGAAATTACATTTGCAATTATATAAATATCTTTAACAACTAAGCCCAACATCACCTGGCCATCCTAATGATACCTAAGTGCAACCTGCTGCATTACTTCAAGCAAAAGTAAGCTGCTTGTCTGACTACTTAAAGTCTATAATGAAAAAGTCTTCTCCTTTTCATGACAAGCTCTAAAATTGTTTTCTGTACTTCCTTTTTGATTTGTTTTTTTTTTCTTTTCCTTTCTTTTTTTTTCTTTTATTATTTGTTGATTTGGTTTTTCTTTTTTTTTTGATGCTTTTCTTTTTTTTTTTTTCTTTTTTTTATCCTACCTGTTATTTTTTCATTTTTCTCCTATTTGTTGATCTTCTTATATTGGATTCTTCATACTTGTTCATAGAATATGTTTCAGATCATTCTTGTTATTACTTTCATAAATTGCTATCTCAATTTTATACTTAGGAATTGTTTTCATCTGTTCTGTATTTTTTTTAAAATAAGATCTTTGATTAATGTCTCTCTTATTTTAACTTTTTCTGTTTCTATTTTTTCAAAGAACACTGTATAATACATATAAGAGAATCAGAACTTTTTCTTCTTTCTTTAACCTATTTCAAGCTATTGCGATAGTTACTTTTTGGATTTTTTTC